AGACCTTATTTCTTTTCTTTTTTTTTTTTTTTTTTTTTTTTTTTTTTTTTTTTTTTTTTTTTTTTTTTTTCTAACCACTGTCTTCCCTTTGAACCACTAAGGAGGTGAACCATAGAGAGTTGTGGGATATAATTATGAGGAGGATGTAGGGAGAATAACTTAGTAGAAATTTCTTTACTGTTATACATAGGCTCCAAAAAAATATGTATTGAAATTAAGCTTGCAGCATATAAACAAACAGTATAAAGAGAAACAATGAATAAATAGTTATTTGTAGGAGATGATAGGAACAGGTTAGATTTGGGTAGCAGTGGGAATAAAGCCTCTTAGTGTATCTCTTTTTTTTTTTATATTTGAGCCATGTAAATGTGTTAGAGATTAAAAATTAATTTTAAACTTTATTAAAAATAAAAGGGAAATAGAGGCTGCTGCTTTTCTCCTATTAAATATGTTTGTGCTAAAATTCAGTGTTTTGATTTTGGGCTATTTTGTGAGATAAGAGACATTTTCAAAAACATTTTGTTAATGAGTCTTGGATAAGAATATTTATAAAAATAAATTTTTTTTTGAGACAGAATTTTGTTCTTGTTGCCCAGGCTGGAGTGCAGTGGCGCCGTCTTGGCTCACTGCAACCTCCACCTTCCAGGTTCAAGTGATCCCCCTGCCTCAGCCTCCTAGGTAGCTGGGATTACACATGTGCACCACCACTCCTGGCTAATTTTTATATTTTTAGTAGAGACGGGGTTTCACCATGTTGGCCAGGCTGGTCTCGAACTTCTGACCTCAAGTGATCCACCCACCTCAGCCTCCCAAAGTTCTGGCATTACAGGCATGAGCCACCGCACCTGGCCCAGAAGTAAATTTTTTGTTAGGTAAGTAAATAAAGGACATTGGTCTTTGCTTTGATAGACATTTTTCCTCATGGATTATGGTTGAAACATCAACAATGAGGTGTCACATTAATGTGGATGAATTTTTTTTTTTTTTTTGAGACGGAGTTTCACTCATGTTACCCAGGCTGGAGTGCAATGGCGCGATCTCGGCTCACCGCACAACCTCCGCCTTCTGGGTTCAGGCAATTCTCCTGCCTCAGCCTCCTGAGTAGCTGGGATTACAGGCATGCGCCACCATGCTCAGCTGATTTTTTGTATTTTTAGTAGAGACGGGGTTTCACCATGTTGACCAGGATGGTCTTGATCTCTTGACTTCGTGATCCACCCACCTCGGCCTCCCAAAGTGCTGGGATTACAGGCTTGAGCCACCGCGCCTGGCCCAATGTGGATAAATTTTTAAACGTGTGTATGTTAGTAGTATTTACCAGTTATTTGGTTACAAATACTTCTTTTAAGATTTCTAGTTATTTTTTCTTTGCTAATTATTTCTTAAACAAGTTTAAAGAAGCATTATGTGGCTTACTCCTTTGTTAATGAATTTAAGAAACTTCTAAACCTATTTAAAACAGCCTTCAGATTATCTTTGTATCTAAGACAATTATTTAGCAGATGAATGATTTCTTTCTTAAGTGTTTATTTCAAAAGGCCAATAATTCTAATAAGAATATTCATGAAAGAGAGGCTAGGGAAATTGATAAATGCTTAATTATATGTTTGATTGATATACGTTTACAAGCTGTCTGATATTTGGACAAGTCTCTAACCTTTGTCAGTTTTCTCATCTGTTTTGGGGACTAAATCCAGAACTTAGAACAGTGTCTGGTAAGTAATGGGCACATTGCATTGATAGATAATAATCAGATACTGGTTTTTTTCCTTCTTCAGTAACTCTCTCTCCTTTGAAAAGGCATATTGCGAGTACAGGCTGAACAGAATTGAGAATGCCTTGAAGACAATAGAAAATTCCACCCAGCAGACAGACAAACTGAAGGAGCTTTATGGACAAGTGGTAATTACTGCTTTTAAATACATGTTGACAATCATCCTGAGTGAGCATGACTACCTCTAGCAAGGAGCAGGGATGAGGAAACCCAGCCCATCCTGATGCTCTGCAAAACTGGCCACCAAACCAGTCCCTGAGGTTTGAATATATTCCCTCTTCTTGATCTTCATACAAACAGCTGCATATATAATGTGCTATGAACAAATTACTTCCTCAGGGTAATTAGAAATTCAAAGAAAATGAAAGAACTAGTCTGTTTAATTTGGACTTTTTAGTTAGAGAGATGAACCACGTTGAGCTTGTATACTTACACAGATTTGAAATAGTATTTCACTGATATTTTATTCTAATTTTAAAATAAAGGATATCATGATAGATAAGAATTTAGATGATTCTAGCCCATGAAATCGTAAAAATATTTTAAAGTATTTTGAGACATAAAATTAAGCCTAATGCAAAATAGGGCTGTTAATGACAAGAGGATAGGAATGTGTATATTAGAGCTAGCAAAACCCCCTTAAGTTTTTTTTGTTTGTTTTTGTTTTGAGACAGAGTCTCGCTCTCTTGCCCAAGCTGGAGTGCAGTGGCATGATCTCGGCTCACTGCAACATCTGCTTCCCAGGTTCACGCAATTCTTCTGCTTCAGCCTCCCTAGTAGCTGGGATTACAGGCATGCACCACCTCACCCAGCTAATTTTTTTTTTTTTCGAGTCGGAGTTTTGCTCTTGTTGCCCAGGCTGGAATGCAATGGCACAGTCGTGGCTCACTGCAACTTCTGTCTCCTGGGTTCGAGCAATTCTCCTGCCTCAGCCTCCTGAGTAGCTGGCGTTACAAGCATGTGCCACCATGCTCAGCTAATTTTGTATTTTTAGTAGAGACAGGGTTTCTCCATGTTGATCATGCTGGTCTCGAACTCAAGGCAGGTGATCCACCTGCCTTAGCCTCCCAAAGTGCTGGGATTACAGGCAATTTTTATATTTTTAGTAGAGACAGGATTATGCCATGTTGCCTAGGCTCGTCTTGAACTCCTGGCCTCAAGTGATTTGCCTGCCTTGAACTCCCAAAGTAGTGGGATTACAGGCATGAGCCATTACACGTAGCCTCCTCTTAAAGACTTTTAAATGTGAATTTAGGGCAAATAATGTTGCATTGAATCTATTGTCCTCAGGAGGTAGTATGAATTTAATAATACAAATGAATTGAGGAAAGGTTTGGACAAATTCATGGATTATAGGCCTATAAAAAACTTTTAAGGTAAACTGGATAACTTCAGCGTAATTCTAGCGTTTTGAGGTTGATTAAGGACACCAATCTGTGTCATACATAGTGGACTAATTGACCTAGAGTGGCAGTTGTTCTTTTAGCACAAGTTGAATGAAATCACTAGGAATTCTGTTGTGTCTGCTTGAGACTGACCTGTGTGACAGCTGGTTTCTGAAAAAGATAAAATGAAGATTGTAGTGAACTTCTAGGAAACGTTAAGGTTTTTTCTTAACATTTAATTTCGTTGTTGTTTTACTAATTATTTTGTGTTGTGGAAAAATATTTTTATTGTAATTTCAGATCTAGGTAGCAGGGTTGAATTCTGTAGAAAGGTTTTCTTTCACAACCTATTTAGGGACTTAACTAACTTCAAGAAGAAAGGTAAAGAAAATGACTTTTCTCAACTGAATCCTGCCTCTAGGTTTGCAGTATAATAAACATTCATTATAAAAGTATTTTCGAAAAGTAACTTTTTGGAAGTATTACTAGTACGTGGAACTAATTTAAAAATTATAAAACATAAACAGTTGATTGTTACATTATGCTGGACTAGGATTCTTACTTAATAGTTCCAGAAAAGGCTTGTATGGTATAAAGACATAGCACCATATTTGTCTCCGATTTTTTACTTTCTATTTATTATTCAGTTATACCGTTTGGAACGCTATGATGAATGCTTAGCAGTATATAGAGATCTCGTCCGAAACTCCCAAGATGATTATGATGAGGAGAGGAAAACAAACCTTTCAGCAGTTGTTGCAGCTCAGAGCAATTGGGAAAAAGTGGTTCCAGTGAGTATCCTTGTGTACCCATACAGTCATGAAGTAATATTCATGTTTAGTATTTAACTGGCATTTTGTCCCCTGACAGGAGAACTTGGGCTTCCAAGAAGGCACGCACGAGCTGTGCTACAACACTGCATGTGCACTGATAGGCCAAGGCCAGCTGAACCAAGCCATGAAAATCCTGCAAAAAGCTGAAGGTTGGAAGTTTGTTAAACTTATCTGTAAATATAATGTGCATATAACTTTGTAGTGTATCTTCTAAAATTGCATTTGATCTCTGTGAAATTAGTAAATGGAAGTTATTGATACAGTGACAATTTCTCAAAGTTCATGTGGTCTTTCTCTTTTTTTTTTTGAGACAGAGTCTTACTCTGTCACCCAGGATGGAGTGCAATGGCACGGTCTCAGCTCACTGCAACCGCTGCCTCCCGGGTTTGAGTGATTCTCCTGACTCAGCCTCCCAAGTAGCTGGGCTTACAGGTGCACACCATCACACCCAGCTGATTGTTGTATTTTTAGTAGAAACAGGATTTCACCCTGTTGGCCAGGCTGATCTCGAACTCCTGGCCTTAAGTAACCCACCTTCCACAGCCTTTCCAAATGCTGGGATTACTGGCATGAGCCACCATGCCCAGCCAAGTCTTTGTCTTTTTGACCATATGTCTCCTATATTTCTAATCCCTACGCCAGTCTATTAGTCCATTTCCAACCATACCAGACCTTGAAGTTTGAATTTTGAGAAGCCGGTTTTGAACAAGTTACTATGAATGCTATATGTAAATTGAGTTAATAAATGTCAACCATTTACAATAGTACATGGCATATAGTATAAGCATTCAGTAAATATTTGTTACTGTTATTGTTGTTAAATAGGTATTCAAGAAATAACATGGTGGGCCTATGTGTGTGCACACATATATACTACATTCATGTATTGATAGCACCATTCAAGCACATTGTTTTTGGTTTTTTTTGTTTGTTTGTTTTTGAGATGGTGTCTCACTCTGTCACCCAGGCTGGAGCACAGTAGTGCAATCTCACTCAGCTCACTGCAACCTTCACCTGCAGGGTTCAAGTGATTCTCCTGCCTCAGCCTCCTGAATAGCTGGGATTACAGGCATGCGCCACCACACCTGACCAATTATTGTATTTTTGGTAGAGACAGGGTTTCACCATGTTGGTCAGGCTGGTCTCTAACTCCTGACCTTCTGATCCGCCTGCCTCGGCCTCCCAAAGTACTGGGATTACAGGCATGAGCCACCGCGCCTGGCCTTAAACATGTTTTAAGTCCATTTGGTATATTTCTGTGTGTAATATTTGCATGCTTTGAAGCTTTTTTGGGGTGGGCCACAGCAGGGGACAGAGTCTTGCTTTGTCACCCAGGCTGGGGTGCAGTGGTGAGAACTTGGCTAACTTCACCCTTTACCTCTCAGGTTCAAGCAATTCTCATGCCTCAGCCTCCCAAGTAGCTGGGATCACAGGCATGCGCCACCATGCCCAACTAATTTTTGTATTTTCAGTAGAGATGGTTTTCACTGTGTTGGCCAGGCCGGTCTCAAATTTCTGTCCTCAAGTGATCTGCCTGCCTTGGCCTCCTAAAGTGCTGGGATTATAGGCATGAGCCACTGCACCCAGTTGAAGCTTTTAATTAAGAAAAAAATTAATTTATTAGAGAACTATGCCTGTTATTAACACATAAAACATTTTGACTTTGCTTGTGCATTCATTTTCCCTGGAAGCTGTAAAAGTGATGTAGAGATTGCAGTTATCATTGGGATGGGAAAAAAAAGGGGAAACAAAGTCTTTTTTCTATTAAATATTAGGGGTTAAAATGAGCAAAGTTTTACTGTTAAATGTTGAAGGTTAAAGTAGGAGCAAAGGTTAGAACATCATGAGAAGAAAAACCTGTTTAAGAATTGTAATTCCTTGGCTGACTGCGGTGGCTCATGCCTATAATTCTAGCACTTTTGGAGGCCGAGTCAGGAGAATTGCTTGAGCCCTGCAGTTCAAGACCAGCCTGAGCAATAGAGTAAGCCCTTGTTTTTTGTTTGTTTGTTTTTGAGACAGAGTCTCACACTGTTGCATGGGCTGGAGCACAATGGCGTGATCCCAGCTCCCTGCAACCTCTGCCTCCTGGGTTCAAGCGATTCTCCTGCCTCAGCCTCCCAAGTGGCTGGGATTACAGGCAACCACCACCATGCCCAGCTAATTTTTTGTATATTTAGTAGAGATGGGGTGTTACTGTTTGGCCAGGCTGGTCTCAAACCTCTGACCTTGTGATCCACCCACCTCAGCTTCCCAAAGTGCTTGGGATTACAGGCGTGAGCCACCGTGCCTGGCCGTAAGCCCACATTTTTACAAAAAAAAAGTATATTTAGCTGGGTGTACCCAGCTAAATGTGATCAACAATTACAATTTCTCAATCATACCCAATGAAGAATATTTTCATACATTGCAGGTTTAAATATAAGAGTAATAGAGACTTTTCAGTGAGCAGTTTGGTGACGTGTAGCAGATTTTAAAAGTTGCATACCCTTTGATCCAATAATTTCACTTCTAGAAACTTACTTTGAGGAAATGATTAGATAAATTTATGCATGTGTGTATGAATATTCATTGAAGGGATATTCATAAGAACAGAAATTTAGAAACAGCATGAATTTCTGTACTATTAAAGGATTGGCTAAGTTTTACCATAATCACAAAATAATTACTATACAATCAATCATTACAACCAATAACATTTTTTAAAAATACAGTAATGTAGATCTGTGTTTATTGTAATAGAAAGATGTCCACAGGATATTGAATGGGGAAGGCAGGTTTCAAAATAGTATCTCACTTGCATTTTAAAATGGAGCTGTGCATTTACATCAAATGAAGCTGGGTATGGTGGCTCACACCTGTAGTCCCAGCTACTTGGGAGGCTGAGGTGGGAGAATCACTTGAGCCCAGGATTTCAAGGCTGCAGTGAGCTGTGATTAAGCCACTGCACTCCACCCTGGGCAGCAGAGTGAGACCCTAACTTTTAAAACAAACAAAAAATATTTAAAAAACTAAATAACTGAAACACTAGCAGTGTTTATCTCCGAGTGGTAGGATTATTTATTTTTATACTTTCATATAATTGATATTTTACAATTAACATTTACTACATTTATATTTTGTAATGCCCTTTACAAATGTTTTTAGCATAGAGACAACAAATAAAAGTGACAAAGAGCTAGGAAAGTCAGAGGCTAATAATATATATGCAATATATTTGAGGCTAATGTAAATTTCACAGTTGCTTGTTATTGTGCTTATCTTGGAATCTTCTGCCTAGGAATTTAGATCTTGCTCTTTGGAATAGTGAAAGAAATGGGATTTACCCAGCAATAATGCTTTTAAAACAATTTTTCTTGTATAGATCTTTGCCGCCGTTCATTATCAGAAGACGCTGTAAGTATTCCATCATTGTTAAACTTTAATTTTATACTTCTGACTAATATAAATTACTGAGAGGCTTCATTGTACTGTTTATTGACTTTTTTAAAAAGATGGTAATTCAATAAATAGGAATCACACAAGAAACCACCCTCTTGATCAGTTATTTGATCAAGTCTATTAGAGAGAGAAATCGCAATACAAAAAATTTTTATATACCTTAAATATTTCATTATAAATTTATACAGTATAAATTCTCCTATTTTAGGATGTAAGGCTAAGGTCTTTGAGGATGGGTCTATTCATAGGAGTTCCACGTGTATTTCTTATCTAATGACATAATTCAACATTCACAATTTCTCCTTTTTTTTTTTTTTTTTTGAAATGGAGTCTTGCTCTGTTGCCCAGGCTGGAGTGTAGTGGCGCCATCTTAGCTCACTGCAACCTCCACCTCCTAAGGAGTAGCTGCGATTACAGGCACGTGCCACTGCACCTGGTCAGTTTTTTTTTTGTATTTATAGTAGAGACGGGGTTTCACCATGTTGGTCAGGCTGGCCTCAAGCTCCTGACCTCAGGTGATCCACCCACCTTGGGTCCCCAAAGCGCTGGTATTACAGGCACGAACCACTGCGCCCAGCCAACTTTTTTTTTTTTTTTTTTTTAAGTGTAACAATATCTTAAAGACAGTTGATAAGCACTTTCATTATAGAGTCCTTAAAGTTTTTTTTTTTTTAACCAATCTCTTAATATTTTTTGGCTCACCAATTAGACATTAATTTTCTTTTAGGAATTTACCTTTACCATGTCTTTCTGAGTATTCAACATGATTTACATTGAATTATGTCTCTTTTCAAATTCATAGTTCACTCTCCTTTTTTTTGGGGCGGGGGAGAGACAAAATCTCAGTCCGTTGCCTAGGCCTGGCTAATGTTTTGTATTTTAGTAGAAACAGGGTTTCACCGTGTTGCCCAGGCTGGTCTCAAACTCCTGAGCTGAGGCAGTCCGACTGCCTCGGCCTACCAAAGTGCTATTATTACAGGCATGAGCCACCATGCTGGCCTTTGTTTGTTTTTTGGCACAAGATCTTGCTGTTTCACCCAGGCTGGAGTACAGTGGTGTGATCGTAAGGTCACGGTAACCTCAAACTCCTGGCTCAAGCAATCCTCTCACCACAGCCTCCTGAGTACCACCACCATGCCCAGCTAATTATTTTCTTCTTTGCAGAGATGGGAGTCTCGCTGTGTTGTACAGGCTTGTGTCAAACTCCGGGCCTCAAGCGATCCTCCCGCCTCAGCCTCCTAAAGCACTGAGATTATAGGCAAGAGCCACCATGCCCAGCAAATAGTTATTCTCTTTAAGTTTTATCATTTCCTTATCAAACGCAACTGCATAATGGTTTTGAAAACAAACATATCTGACTCCTGGTCAGCAGATACTTACCAGGTGAGAGCAGGAGTATTGGGTTGCTAAAGGAGAGTTATCTCCTAGTCTTGAGTATTCATTGTACAGCCTTTTCAGAAGGAGAAATGTGGATTAACCTGGAGCATCAGTTAAGAGAACTACTACTTTAATTACAGAATTTGTTCAATTATGGGATGAGTTTAAGTACAGAATTAGTTCCAGCTTTTGAAGTTTTTTGTACAGTGTTAATTGGAATTTTATAGTTTTTGTATTAGAGTTATGGTAGAATAAAGAGAAAAGCATTTTTAAATGTGATTTTTATGAGAATTATGTTTCCAGAATTTTGGTATCATTATAAAAAGATGTACTTGCATTCTGGTTTTTTACTTATATTTTTTAATTCTTGGGTTTTAAAGGATAATAATGATTAGTAAATGGTATTCCTAAACTTGTTATCATGTTCTTCTAGGATCTTTTTGCCTTTTTTTTGCTTTAGATACTTAGACATCGAAATCTTTTTGCTATTTTCATTTAAACTTCTCTCATGGTGGCAATTTCTAAAGAACTGACTCTAAGGGAAAATTTCTGAAATTGTATGTCTTCTTTAGGATTGTATCTCTTTTGAATATTTGGATCATTTGGTAAATATGTAGATCAGTTTGGAAAATTTATATGAGAAAAATGTTTCTTTCTCTTAGGATGGGACTGAGGAGGACCCACAGGCAGAACTGGCCATCATTCATGGTCAGATGGCCTATATTCTGCAGCTTCAGGGTCGAACAGAGGAGGCTTTGCAACTTTACAATCAAATAATAAAACTAAAGTAAGTGAGTTGTTAAAAGGAAGTATCTTTTATAGGGGATGGGGTTTCTTTTTAAAGGTTTGTTTGGTTTTGACTGTTGCTTTTTGTTCACAGACCAACAGATGTGGGATTACTAGCTGTAATTGCAAATAACATCATTACCATTAACAAGGTATGGAATATTTGTGGCTTTCCTACAGATGTATTTTACCCTGAAAGCTCATCACCCTAGTTTTAGTTTTGTTCTAGGATAGGCTAACTGTTCATTGTAACATGAAAAAGTCCAGTTGTAGCAAAATCACAATGGACAGTATTACTTAATTCTTCTAATGATAATGATGCTACAAGGTATATTCAAGTAATACAGCTTTTTTGTAATAGATCCTAGACTTTAAGATCCTCCCCTTTTCCTAGTGTGTAATAATATAAAGACTCTCTCTTTGTAAGAAATATAAATTGTTGAGGCTTTTAGACTTTAAGTGTATGCATGTTTTATGTGATTTCCGCTGTGGAACCTGAGTGTGCAAGTGTTGTTCTTTCTATAATTTTTTCTTGAGTTTTATTTTTTAGGGGGTATGGACAGGTGCCCTTTCACCTCCACCATATGCCATCCCATGTAAAATATTACAAATATATAAGCACTTTAGTTTAACTTAGAGTACTACTGTACTAATGTCATTAGCCACCATTAGGAACACTCTTTTAATGGAAAAAGCTTTCTTTTTCCTTTTTTTTTTTTTTTTTTTGAGACTCTCACCCAGGCTGGAGTGCAGTGGTACAAACATGGCTCACTGTAGCCTCAGACAATCCTCCCAAGTAGCTGGGACCCCAGGCACACACCACCATGCCCGGCTAATTAAAAAACCAAAAAAATTTTTTTGTAGAGACAGAGTTGCCATGTTACCCAAGCTGGTCTCTAAACTCCTGGGCTCAAGCAGTCCTCCTGCTTCAGCCTCCCACATTGCTGGGAGTCCAGGCATGAGCCACTGCACCCACCCTAGAAAAATATTTCAAGTTCACATTTGAAATTCAAATGAGTGGAAAGTAAGAAAAGTAACATTTGAACATATGATCATCTAAATTCTAGAGGGCATAGCTTGTAGAAATTGCAAAATTAGGTATTTTTGTAGTCCTAATACAGTCCAAGATTTGTGCTGTCCCTTTTTTTCCTTCAAAAAGCTCAAAACAAGCAGTTAATAGTAGAAAAATAAAATGGAAATCTTGTTCTTCATTTCTTCAAAGCAGTTCACTTGTTAAGCCCTTTTATATCTAGAAAGCCTCCTTTGAGAAGGCTCTAAAAGGAGTGGGGCTAGATTCTGAGATAAATATATGTGCATGGGTAGATTTGAATTGCAGAGATTTTGTTTACTTCTGTGAACTAAGATAAATTTATATGTATCTTATTAGTTTAAGCACCCCAGTCAGGTAGATATATTTAAGCTCTCCTTTTGTGTTTATGTAAAGTTAATTTAAAAAGGAATAAGTTGAAATCTGAGATTGTGTTAATGGTGGATAAACTTTTCTTTGTTAGGACCAAAATGTCTTTGACTCCAAGAAGAAAGTGAAATTAACCAATGCGGAAGGAGTAGAGTTTAAGCTTTCCAAGAAACAACTACAAGCTATAGAGTTTAACAAAGCTTTACTTGCTATGTATACAAACCAGGTGGGTAGTCGTGGCTAAGCCTTTTGTAATATGGTATATGAGGAATAACAAGGATATTATAGTTTTTGTTTGTATTTTGTCTTCAACTCATAAATACATATTTTTTCCTTCCTCAGAATATTATATATATAATTCGCCAGGCACCGTGGCCCACACCTGTAATCCTAGCACTTTGGGACGCCAAGGCAAGCAGATTGCCTGAGCTCAGGATTTTGAGACCAGCCTGAGCAACATGGCGAAACCCTGTCTCTACTGAAAATACAAAAGATTAGCCAGGCATAGTGGTGCACGCCTGGAGTCCCAGCTAATTTCTTAAAAGGGTGTAGGGTTGACATCTTTTAAGGGGAAGAAAACAGTATTCACACTTTAAATGAGATGACTTTCTCATTACCTTATTTCTTTTTTTTTTTTGAGACGGAGTTTCACTCATGTTACCCAGGCTGGAGTGCAATGGTGCGATCTCGGCTCACCACAACCTCCGCCTCCTGGGTTCAGGCAATTCTCCTGCCTCAGCTTCCTGAGCAGCTGGGATTACAGGCACGCACCACCATGCCCAGCTAATTTTTTGTATTTTTAGTAGAGACGGGGTTTCACCATGTTGACCAGGATGGCCTCGATCTCTTGACCTCGTGATCCACCCGCCTCGGCCTCCCAAAGTGCTGGGATTACAGCCTTGAGCCACCGCGCCCGGCCTTCTACCTTATTTCTAATTTGATTTAAGATAGAATCATCAAAGGTGCTAGCCATGATTATAGATTTAAGATCCATCTTTCATTTTTGCTGTGTGTCATCACATCAAGTTATTAATGTTAAGGAGATCAATTCTAACTCCAGTAAGCACTCTAATTCTAATTTTATACTCTTTTAGAGCAGAAGTTTTAATGGGAAAATGAGAGGCAGTAATGTTTTTATTATTTAGAATTGAGTCAAGTTATTCTTAATAGTTTAGCAAGAAATACGTATGTATTTTGTTGTTTTTAAAGCAAATGCTTATACTTGATGTGTTTGGCTTTTTTTAAAACAGTTTTAGAATTTAGGCATCCAAGTGAATGTTAGAACTTGTCCTTTACTAACGGCTTTTAGAGCTCTTAAATTCAATAAATGGAAATCATTTTCTTTTTTTTTTTTTTTTTTTTTTT